GGGGGGGGGATACGTATAACCTGCCTTGACTGCAAGCCCAATATCAGAGTTCCTTTTGATAGAAAAAAAATGAAACTGTTCGTATATTAAACAAACCTACACTACTAAGAAAAATAACGTTCAAATAAGTCAAAAGATAAGACCAGAAAACTCACTAATAGTTTATGAAGAAAATTCAAACGAATTGAGGGGTTTTTAAATCAGGAACAACACGGACGAGTTTTGGCTCAGGTTTCTTGGAATGATTAGAAAGTGGCCAACCCATCGATTATCGGAAACTCTCAAAAAAAACTCAGCTGCGCATTGTGTTGAATCACATACAAAACGTTATAATGAGTAATTAAAAATTATTCAAAGACAAGGCAAAACTATGAAAAAATTTTTAAAAAATGAGGGGGTTTTTAATCTCATAAAACACGCCGGAGGCTGAGTCATTGGGACTGACGACCCGCGACGCTGACGAGCTGAACGAAAGTGCGGGTCACTTTGAATGCAATTCATATGTCCAATGATCAAGGAACAGAAAACCAGACCTTCACTTACAATCAGAGAAGTTGAAGAATAACCTTTGTTTAGTAAATCTTACACAAAACATTGATTAAAACTACAAGGAGTGAACTGAAATGAATTTCAAAAAGAAAACTCATGGCAAAACTATGCCTTCTTTTGACCTTATTTCTATGACCCACCTGCCCCTGATCGTCCTCTAATTCAGATGAAGAATCAGGAAAGAGGTGAGGGTACCTCTCTCTCCAATGGTCCTCTGATGGCCATGCATTTTCAGACTTGGGGTCGCCATTGGTCTTCTGAAACAGATGTCGACCATACAACAAACATTTAATGTAAGGTTTAAGGCGTGAAAAACTTAGTTTTCATTTTATTGAAACGTGACCAGAGGAGACGAGAAACAATATAAAGGTGAAAACTCCATTATCAGCAAGTTCAGACTGAGCGGGTACAATGCATGAGCAGCATAAAAAGCCTACCACAGTCAAATCTCTATGACGCAACTCTTTGTTAAGTGGTCGCTGCGAAAACGTAACCAAATTACAAAACAAAAATAGAGTGAAAAATTCCAAAATGGGTGGGGGAGGGGAGGGGGGTACGGTACATATGTGGAATAAATGCCCTGGCTAGCTTTATATTCACTGTAAACTCTAAGTGTTTATGTTTCCGGTCTTTTCTTTTCAATTATCGGAGGAAAATTAGTCTGAAACACACAATCATTTGGACTCCCGAAAGTTTAAAAAGGGGACAGACAGTTAATCAATAAATGACCTTCAATTTTCTCTGCCAAATCTAATATATCTGATTTTCACAAAATTCTAAATAGCACAATTTTTCCTAAATATCATAAGACTTGTTAAATATCTCAAAATCTTCTAAACAGCTTTGTAAAAAATATCCGGATATTTCTATACTAGGTTTGGTGCGGACCGAAAAATGCAAAAATGCCGGAAGGAGGAAATGCTGGCGCTACACGCAAACAAAAGGCGGGAAAATGCTGCCACGTGACACATCATGATTGGCAGGCAAATTTCGTAAAAATTTAACCAATCAGCTGTGTCCACGTCACTAGCCTTCTCTCACGCCACTTTGAATGACAGTTTGTTGATTTTGTAGTTTGTTTTGACTTTAGCCATGGATAATAGAAAGACTGGATAGGAAACTTATGTCACGTGGGCTGATTTCTTATCGCCGATTGGTTGTTTCGTGCTGCGAGATGGCGTTGGATGGTTCCATCATAGTGGAAGTTTGTGACGAAACGATGGCGAAAATGTGGCGCAAACCAGTCGAAATGTAGGGTTTGTTTGCCTGCATGTTGTTCTTTTTCGGAGTTTTTAGTGCTGCTTTAATTTTTGGTGTATGTTTTTCCCTTCGTTTGTCGTGTTACGGCGATAGCAACCCTTCAAAGCCACACTTGAACCTTCGAGGTAAGCACTTCTTGTTGTTGTTTTGTGTTATTTGTCCTTGTTTTTGAGAAAATTGCGTCCCAAAAATTCACCTTACCAGAACCATATTTAGTACACTTGGCGACTGTTTTGGGACGCCTTTATTAAGACGGTTCCTTCTTCTTTCTATTCATAACTACGACTGACAGATCCTTCAAGGATGGAATTGTGGCATAGGCATAGTTACAGACTGAGTGCTGTTATTTTCCAGCCATACATTTCGATTGAAAATGGCTGAAATAAACTACATTCGGAACTGGCGCCGAGCGAGTGTACGTACACGGTGTGTAAAGTTTCAATCGACAGACTAGTTTGTGTTGAAAACTGTTTCGCTCAAGTAATATGCTAATTGTTCGTAAAGCAATATGTTAATTTCGGTCATCTTTTAATGTTGAAATAACCTGCTAAATTACATATTCAGTGAATACAATCGCCTCACGTCGCTCCTCGCAGCTTGTATTCGAAGGCACTGAAGAGACTCGAATAAGTTTTGTACTTTTCCCTTACATAAACAAATAATTGTATCATGAATGGGAAAACACCTACTAACATTTTTTGGCCTCCGTTTGGGCTCCTAAACGTTGTTGTTATTATTTAAACAGTGTTTTAGTTTTCCTTTTGTTTGTCTTTATTGTAGGATTTGCTGAACACATTTAGTCATTAGAATGAAGACAGTATAATTGTGGTCAAGTACTCTTCTGAGAGGGCACAAACCAATCAATCTTTCTGTATTAAACAGCAACTTTTGTTATGCATGAGAGCCAGAAAGTGGCATCTAAGTTTCCAACCAAAGATGGACTTGATAGCACTATTATTGTATTCGTTTTTTTAGAGATCAAAGCAACAATGTACCTGTACCAAGATGTATTCTAAATCAAATTAATAAAACATATACATGTACTTGTTTGGGGTATGAATTTTTTTTTCAACAACATGATAATCTGACCACAGACAGTCAAGTATTTTTTCAATCCCTCATCCACTTACCTCAGACTAAACAAAAGCCCTGGATGTTACTGTTTTTTTTTTATAACCAGCTTCTTTTTTTTTTGGGAACAGTGTTTATGTTTATTTCAGAGGTGATTTACAGTATCCCCTATCCATATCACTAACATTACAATACAAAAACTTTAACTTTGTTTCATCCTAAAAAAAAAGGTCAGCATCTCAAAGATAATATGTTTCTAAGTTTTATTAAGCCTTATGGAAGACAAGTGTTTCCTCGTGAAAAAGAAGTGAAGGCCCTTCTATTACACCAGGAGAGTTGTATTCTAGTAGTTAACAAGTAACCGTTGTATATAACATTTTTACAAGCGTTGCAGTTAGTTTTTTTAAAGACCTGACTAAAAAGTACCTTGGGTCATTGTACATTTATACCTGAAAACAACAAAACAACTTGCTTTACGATGAAAATTGAGTTGAAAAAGTTAGAAACGGCGTTTCCACGGTGGTCCACAAGCAAATTTACTTTCTCTGCTGTGAGCTTTTTATCCCCGCTTTTTATACATTTCTCAGATACGGCTTCTTGTCACTGGTTGTCCGTAAATGATTTGAATAGAAATTAAACACTTGTTTGAGTTGGGTACTTGAAACATCAAGCCTCGACAGTTTTACCGCTAATAAAATCATTTTGCCAAGGGTTATTAACTTATAAAATTCGACACTCGATGAGGTTTTCGATAAAAGCAGAAAGGAAATCGTGAAAACCGTGATAAAAAGAGTTAAAATAATTTCCGGTGTTCTTGTGGTTTGTAGAATATTAGGCTGTGCCTTTTTTTATAGGTGTTTTGTATACATGTACGTTTTCGCATAGTTTTTATGTAGCTAGGCTTCCCGTTTGGTACATAAAATTATCGGGCGCTGGAGTCATTCTTCGCTCTCACAAGTTTCATAATCATTTACTCTGTCTTTTGCGGTTTTGTACCCTTAAACTATCTTCTCCAAGAACAATTCCTCTTCATCCTTTACTTCAAAACATGGGCAACCTGTATATATGAAATAAGCGATGAAAAATAAGATGCGCAAAACATCGGATCCAGATGTAAGAGGTTGAATGGCTCTCGAAAACATGACGTCACACTTTTCCACTATGTTGGAACCAGCGCGTCAGCCAGTTTCCTATCCAGTCTTTCTATTATCCATGCTTTAGCTGAGTTTGTTCTTCAACGAAAAAATTCAACGCAAAAATGCTCAAGATGGAATTAAAAAAAAAAAGAATTAGAAAACAACGTAAAACTTCAGTGAGAGAAAGATTCGGCTTGTTTACTCTGGAATTTGAAGAATTTGTCAAACGATTTCTGGAAGCTAGCAGAAAAAAAACTTATTAATTGAAGACAGAATTAAGCGACGCAGGATTAATTGCGGAAAACATGTCGCCGCCGAAAATAGACAGTTATACCACAGAGGAGCACTTTTACCTGTGATAAAAGTGTATGGCTTTAAATTTGAACATAAGTGTCTCAGAGGAATTGTCTGTTTTGTGGAAAGTTATCTCAAAACACCTAGCTACTTAGCGAGGTCATTTATGAAAGGACAGGCAAAGAACACTCAAAGAAAAGGACTTCTTCAAATTCTGGAATCTCAAACAAACTTTCCTTGAGTGTTTTACTGATTTTATGAAACCTTAACGATAAAAGTGAAACTGTAAGTTAACCTTTCTTTTTCTTATTCTGCAAATTATTTGTTTAAATTGAGCATGAACTGAACATGTTTTCAGATATTGATCAACTTCGTGTTTGCTGTTCTCTATATTTTATTAAAAGGAATGAATTAAAATTGATTCAGTGTATTGTGCAATTTTTGTGTTTTTACTTGTATCAGTTGAGTTGAACCAGACTCGAAGATATTATTTTGCTCAGTGCAGACACCTTCCCATTAATTTACATGTTCTGTTGAAAGGAATGAATAATAAAATGATACTTTCAATCTGCTAAAGTTTATGATAGCCATGTTATGATTTGTTTTCAACAGCAAATCTTGTGTTTTATCGAGAATAAAAATGACAAAGAAAGAAACTAATGGCGAAAGACAAGAGCTGAGTAGAAATAAACTGTAGACAAAGAATAAAGAAACAAATTGCGATAAAATTGGAAAACTTACGTGGTAGTATGACCACAGCATAATGATGTTGCCGTGCTGCTTGATGGCTGATGACAGATCCATCACCTGCTGTGGAGTCATCTTCACATCATAAAGCCACAGTTTCTCCAGGTGAGGAGCGCAGCTGAGATGTTGAATCAAGCTGTCTACTCCTGCACCTGTAAGAGGATTCCATGACATGTCGAGCTCCACCAAGTTTGGAAGATCTTGTTTGAATAAATTGTTGATGAACTCCACAGCAGGTGACGATGTTACATTGATACGACTGAGTGTTAAGTCCTGCAGTTTGTGTGTTAATTGGATGCTCTTCATCAGACACGCTGTTAACTCAGCATCGAACACTTCACCGTCTTTACCCCAAACCAGTATCCTGTGTGGAACGGTGATAAACGGCATCATCTCAATCAGCAGTTCCACATCTGACCTGTTCACATCATAAGCTACAATCCCCCGAGCCCTGGAGAGACCATGACGCTTTGAACAACAGCTGCTGCTGCTCTCTTCACTTGACTCAGCACCATTCATGTTTGTCTTCTTTGTTGTCTCTTGTTTACTTGTTAGCGCCTTAATCATTTTACATGGAAGAAAAGGAATGTCTTTATGTTCAGCTTTTATAATTTTCATAAAATACAGGTGAGTGTTGTTTTCTTCTTTCTTTAAGAAAAATTCATCAACTCGACGCCATGAAAACTTGCTTAAAAATTCTGATGCTTTCTTTTCTCCTGAACAACTTACAATGAAAGCCTTTAATTGTTCAGATAAAATTATTACGTTTCTATAGTCTTGCTCTGTATACTCTTTGTCATCAGTGAAAAACACGTAATTTACGTTTACAGTAGTTTTAACTAACTTTTCTTTCACAAGATCATTTAACTGGTCTGCTTTAATTAAAATAACTCCTCTGAAAGAGGAAAGAAATGTAGGAAAGAGATTTTCTTTTGTCTCAGCTGAACAGTAGAAAAACAACTGTGTACAGAGTGTTAAGAAATTTCTTTGATTTTGTGACAAATCCCACTGTGACGGTGTTTCGCTATCGAAGGTGTACTCCGTCAGTCCTTCTTCGTTGGCCGCCATTTTCATCAGGTGAATCACAATCTCGCGCGCAGCTTCTTCTGACAGCTCACCAGCAAATTTTAACACTTCACTCCTTTTGAGGATCTTTTCAACCGAGTCCAACTTTGACAGGGAATTTGTAATTTCATTCTTCTTAGATAATATCAGCTCTTCTTTCAGGAAACTTGCCGCGAGGTATTCTTGCAGGGATTTATGAATGAAATACACACCTTTTTCAGGATTTAAACTTGACATATTTAAAACTTGAAAAAGGCCGACTTCAATCAACCTCTCGATCAGATCGTAGTTAGGTAATTCACTTCTTGGGAAGTGCAGACTATCGTTCATGAGAGCTTCAAAGGCCAAGCGCCCTAATGCATATAATTCATCTGAGTAATCTTCTTCAACGAACAGCGACTCAGCAGACTGTTTTTCACGCATGTGATGAAACAAAGTCTTCACGAACTGAGTAAAGATTTCCGCGCGTTTCTTTGGCAGTGCGTTGCGATCTTTCCCCTTCCAGAGTAGACACATAATTAGAAGAAGAAGAGGAATTTGTGCTAGTTTCCTTAGGTTGTGCTCCTCCAGGTATCCGAAAAACTTTTTAACATCTTCACCATCTTCTAAAAATCTACGAGTGAAATCTTCTTGGTGCTGATCGGTGAAGCCGTCTATCTTGAAAACAGCATCACTAGAACTTGTCAACGTCTCTGCTTTCATTTCCCTTGAAGTTATTACAACACAACAATCTCGTAACTGACTTTTATTCCAGATTTCAAGGACAGGCGATTGCTTTCCAGCAGTGTAAACATACTCATCGTAGCCGTCCAAGATAAGCAAGACTTTTTCTTGATGGCGGCGAACGTAGTTATACAGGTTGACCACGGTAACTGTGCCATCACTAGCCAGCGTTCTGGAAGCCGCCAAAATGGACGGAACATCTTGGAGATCACAAACGTCCCGTAATCTTACCAGAAGGAAAAGATCAAACGCTCCNTATCCGAAAAACTTTTTAACATCTTCACCATCTTCTAAAAATCTACGAGTGAAATCTTCTTGGTGCTGATCGGTGAAGCCGTCTATCTTGAAAACAGCATCACTAGAACTTGTCAACGTCTCTGCATTCATTTCCCTTGAAGTTATTACAACACAACAATCTCGTAACTGACTTTTATTCCAGATTTCAAGGACAGGCGATTGCTTTCCAGCAGTGTAAACATACTCATCGTAGCCGTCCAAGATAAGCAAGACTTTTTCTTGATGGCGGCGAACGTAGTTATACAGGTTGACCACGGTAACTGTGCCATCACTAGCCAGCGTTCTGGAAGCCGCCAAAATGGACGGAACATCTTGGAGATCACAAACGTCCCGTAATCTTACCAGAAGGAAAAGATCA